CCATGAACTCATTAATTTACCCATTAAAATACCACACTCCATCAAGACAATTATAGATCTGCTTCATATTTGCAACTAAACATACAAGCTTCATTTTATGCTTTTTTCATAATGGATAAAAGCAATTTTGTTACAGCTAACATGCTTTTGTCCCATCAATTTCCTGAAATTTTGCAAAATTCAACCCTAAAAGCAGTTTTGCTTGTTCCTTTCTGGAGTTGTTCACTATTATACAATAAGTATAAATGAAGACAACGTAGTCAGACAGATTGGAGAATATTTATACATGTAAAACATTTATATTAGAAGAGACTGCACTGACTCACGAGTTTTTCATTTTAATTTTTCATATTTTATTTTATATTACACTTTATTGGTGTACACTGACACAAAGATGCAATAAAACAGTATCATTATTATTATTATTATTATTATTATTATTATTATTATTATTGACTTTATCATCTGCCATCCCCCAAGTCATAAACATAAAAAGGTTTTTACCTGTTCTCTTTCGTATGACTCTTCTTCTTTCCCATATCCGAGGACTGGAAGGATCCGCTGAGTTACTGTTGGATGATGAAGTTGATGAACTACTAACATTCGTGGGTGGAACTGCTGCAGTACCAATACTACTAGAAACAACACTTGCTGTTGCACCACTGGAAGCAACACTTGCAGCAGCACCACCACTAGAAGCAATACTTACTGCAACACCACCACTAGCAGCAACGTTTGTAGTCACAGCATTGTTAGCGTCTGATTCTACAGCAGTATTAGAAGCAGACTGACTTGTTCTAGAGTTCGTAGAATCAACATCAACAGCAGGCTGCATATGCAGCTGCATCAATGTCTTTGAGTTGCTGCTTTTCCTCTGAGGCGATACACTTTGAGAGAGTGAGTGTAATCTATCTGGGCTATGATGAGTTGCACGTGGGCTAGATTCCCTTGATCGCCTTCTTGTGACCTGAGACGAAACTTGGAGTTCATTACCACCTGACAAATCCCCAAATGGTTCTGTGTTAGATCTTGCAGCCACATTACCTGCTGCGCTACTACTCTGTTCAACTTCATCTGTTTGTCTGTTTCTCAATTCGTCACCTATTTCTGTTTGCTGATTTGATGCAGATGCATTGTTAGATTGGGTGACATTTCTTTCAACTAGGCTACCATCTCGACAAACTGGCGGATTCTGACCATATATATTACTACCACTACCTAAGACAGATAAATTGTTATTGATGACGTCTCCTGAGAGGCTGTTATTGCAACTTATTGTTGAGGTTGGCATAGCAGACGATTGTGTTGAGGCTGTTTCTACAGCTGCAGGTCTGGAGAACACAAAGACATCTCCCTGAACAGCTGGTGGTGTTACTAAAATACTTGGTGATCCAGGTAATGTTCCATCATCTGATGTTTGTAATACTGTCTGCAGTGGGGGCTGCGCACCGTTATTATTCCCAAGTACATTTAAATCCCCATTCAGTCTCCTCGCAGCAGTATTTAATGAATTAGAACAGGCTATGCTTTGTACATCAGCAATGCTATGAGGCATGTTTCTCATCAGTTCATTGGTAGCTTGGGCAAGTTCTTCGTCACTCAGACTACTTTGATTGCTCATAGGTTGTGTAGGTGTTGGAGGTGCTACATTAGATGCTCCGTTAGCCACTCTGGCAGGTTCCACTGTCGTTCTAGGTGGACCAGAGCAAGTTCTCCTGACTGCAGCATGGCTGCTTATAACTGATGACAATCTGGAATTGTTTATTTGATTGTTTATTGCAGGTTGTGCCGCTATAACAACTGGTTCATTCTCCAAAGGTCCATTTGGTAGAGGATCATAATTACCAGGGTCTGATGGTTCTGAGTAAGATCTTCTTAGCAACTGTCTTCCTGACGCACTCAAAGAAGAAGGAGAGGTAGAGGAAATACCTGCGAGATGATAATATTAGGTAAAAACAACCCATTAAAGTAATTGCAGTACATAGTCCCTGTGAGTTATCCCTGTGACACATTGCTCTGCAACAGAATTAATTAAAAACAAAATGGCCACCAGTCGGCCATTTAGAATCAGATCGTCAAACCAATACATCTGTATATCTATGACATGATGTATGATGAATATACAAGTTTGAACATAATTAGACAAAGCATGTCAGAGATATGGCACGAGAACCGCATTCATTAAAACAAAATGGCCAGCAGTCAGCCATTTTACCTCTATCTTCTAAAGGAGTAAGTTTTTAATGTTTATTCAGTGAGTAATTGACCACTGTAAGAAACAGACAAGATCGTGTGCAAATTAATTATTAATTATGGTAAAAATGAACAAAATATTAAAGAATGGTGGATGGTAGATCTGAAGAAGTTAAAATAAACACTTGATCGTTTGAAATTTTATAATCACATTTGGGTACTTACTTTCATCATCTTGGTGTCTGTCAACTTCAACTTTAAATACAAGTTGTCCACTAATATTGTCAACTGGACTTCTTTTCATTAGGTTATAAGTCAACACGTGGTCTCTGAAAATGAAAAGTAAAACAGATTTAGATGTATAGACTGGCACAGTAGGTGAGAAGAATGGAATCAGTTTACATACAAATTTTACCACAGCAAGGAATAAAACACATGTGGTAAATCAAATTTGAGTAATATTTGCTTTGACGTCCAAATCAGTTAATAATGTAATCTGTAGTGTAGTAGCACGAATTCTGTGCTTTTTTTAATCATTTAAAGCACTACTTTTCTGGCAATATCAGGGTGGTATTTCTATTACGTATGTTGCGATTAAATGTTGCATTGGAGGCCAGTCAAAACAAGCAAAAAGGTCAAAGCAGTGCCTGCTGGTAAATGTGTGATTTCAAGAAATGGTCTTGGTTTCTAATTTCCATCAGTATTATTTCCAACTTGTTTTCATCCATTGAAGAAGTCAACCACGGCCAATGATACCAATACACAGGGTCCCTGCCACAAGAGAAACAGGATGTGCGTACTTTTTTCAAATCACCTGATAATAACATAATACATGTGCCAAACGTTTGATGTTTGTTGTTTTGAATTCACATAATGAATTATAAATTTTGATTTTTAATAGGCATGTTGATATAAACATCACGTACTGTAAGAGATTCAAGGCACAGAATGGCTGTCCAAACATTGGAGAAAATAAGCATTAGTATTCCACTCATAGTAAAGCTGCAACATATTTTTATTGAACGGAGAGATGATAGTGAATAAATTTACAAATCATAACTTATGGTAAACACTTTCCTGCATTTTATTCTGATGGTTTTCTGATTCTATCATTTGGGTTTTAGTTTTTTAAACAAAATGAAAGAAATAATTTTGTTTCCATAGCAATATGGATTCAAAAATGGCATCCATTTTGTGAAAAACTAGATGACTTTAGAAAATTTATAGTCATTCTGCCCCATTTGCTTTGATATTGAAGGATATTAGGATAGACATGTGACAAAATTCTTTTTCTCACTATGATACATTCAAAATTTTTAAATGTTTAATTTGATTATAAACTTAATGTTTAATATCTTTTATACTTTTTGACTGAAAATAATATTTATCATACATGTATTACACTTACACTTACAAGTGTTATTTTCAATTTAACGTATCTCAACTATTCTGATAGTTTTTGAAGTAGTCAGTTAAAACATATCCTGTCACCAAAAAACAATACTGTGTTCATTAAATTTTCTTTTTTGAATTTTTAGAGTTCAAAAGCATAGATAAAACACCATTTTAATGATACAACCTTGAAACAGCTTTCCCAGTGCGAGAATTTGATAATAAGGATTTAATACTATTTCTTTGTTTTCTTTAATTGTTCAACCAAAAGAGTGCTATAAGAATCAGAAAAGAAAGCTACAATGGACCACTTTCTGGTTTTAATTATTTGATTAGGTCAATCCAAGTTACTGACGCAATCAAATGCCTACTAATCAAAAGTTTGAAATCTACCATTTCTCACAAATAAGAACTGTTGAGTAAATAAAATACAAACAATCAGCATCATTAAATGGCATTGACCTTCATACTTGTAAAACTATTGTCATTAGGTAGGAGCAGTTAGGGTGATTCATTAATATTTGATTTGAATTTACTAACTTGTGAGATTAATATAAATGTTCTTCCTACATCTATAATTCAGCAGATTACACAGTGACATCCATCCTTTACTAAAACAATATTTATATAATTACGTATACTGTATTTGTTATGGTACTTGACAAAGAAATGTGCCCAGTAGAATGAAACTGCATATGTAATTTAAAAATTTAATTAGAGTACACATTCGGAAAATAGCAAAGTCAGAAAATAAAATTATCAGCACAGACTATTACTAGTTTTAGCTTTCACTCTTTTGTTAAATCTGATTCTAAAATTATTGATAAGATTATTCATAATTGATAATAATCATGTCTTACATAATAATTACTAATAATCATGATATATTATTATATCAATAACTAATAGATAACATATAAACACAAACAGGAAATATTTCTTGCAACTTAATTTTATGAGAAAACGCATTCAAAGGAATAAATTATATTAATAATTAACTGAACCATTTCAATTTCGCAAATAACAAATGTATTGCTGTGACAAGACTGCCAGATTTCCAAATAAAATAATTCAAATTACGTGAGCAGCCCACTGAGGTTCAGTAGGAATATGGTTAGAAAAGACACATGAATTCAAATCTTGGTAATTCCAGAGAGAGTAGCTCCCTAGATGATCCACAGAGCAGTGAAATATATCATAATATATCATCATTCTGAGCAGAAAATGCAAACCCAGGATGAAAATGGAGATGGAAACTATACTTCATGTAAACTGTGGGAACACACCCACTTATTGGAAAGTCAATGTACGTAGCAAGTTAGTCAATAAACCGACAAGAATACATAAACAAAACCACTACGTGAAAGAATAACGAGGGAGGGAATCTAATGTACTCACCCAAGATGAACTCGTTCGAGCAGTCGCTGAACTGGAATGGTCAACTTGCCTAAAAATCTACTAATGATAGGTCGGCTTTTCACGAACTTGTCCTTGACATCCATTTCCAGGACATCAGTGGGCAGTGCCTGGAATTGGAATTCCTGAAAAATACGGACAGAAGGTGATGGATAATTAGATCCAGGACAGGAAGGAGGTGCATTTTGAAAGGAAGAATAACCGAGCGTGCAACCGCGAGCTGATATATCCTGTCTTGTATATATTTTAGGGAGAGTGAAACGAGAACAGAATGTTAAACAGCCTGACTGCTACAGGTATTATCCATCCAGTGTCTCATTAATACAGAATGAGTTATAGGTATCTATACAAATGATGCTGCTATAAAGCAATGAAGCGCGTGATTGCCATGGGACATATTCACATGTTAATGTGAATAATGCTTGAATTTAACTCATAATCCACATATGACCTTTGTATATTTCACATTCGATCATCAACAGGCATGTGGTCATTATGGGACATGTGACTGTGAAATACATTCATGCAAGATATAATCATAGCTTATACATTCCTATAATGAAAAAAAACAACCTATTTTGTATTCAAAGCCAATATTGACTGAAAGATTTCATCTTTTATACGTAGTTGAGAGCACAGCAGGCAAACACATTTACATCTTCCACTTTACATGCTTTATTTTCATCTCTATAGCTGTGATTGTACAACACCTTAAGCTACACTGAGATGACCTTATAGTTAACAACTGTATATCTCCATGGGTGATTTGAAAGACTAGATGACACTACGTTTCAGTCACTGCTGCTGTCACTATCCATCCATCAATTCACTTTTCAGTAACTGACATATGTTATATTATTGGTCTTTATCATTAAGTTGTTAAACAATCAAGGATAATTTACCACTGTTAGTAATCCTTACAGGCATTGATTTCTTGTTTCGTTCATACATGTACGCGCAGAACGTATTATCACACCTTTCCATGTGTAGGAAATGTTGGCTCTAAGCTTTTTTAGAATCCTGCAGCTAGATTTAATGTATCACCAATGGACACGGTATATTTGATTGAGTAGGACTGCTATCACAATGAAGGACTTTTATGGATAGTAGATCTAACTGAGAGCACTAATTTTAAGTGTCAATAAAATTGAGCATCAAGTTGGCTGATTTATCTTGATAAACTTAACACTTTTTTCACAAAGCCACACTCTTTGAATACATAGAGGCAAAATTTCAATCAGCACTGATATTTTTGATGAGAAAGTCCCCTAATGATTAGGTTTGAATCAATTAATGACAGTTAATAATCCTCCATAATGAATGAGCATAATGAAGACTAAAATAACAAGGTCAACAATGTTGCACTTCACCATTAACCTCAATATGGCCAATACCATGGAGTATGAAAGAACCATCATCTGCTGCAACATGGCCAATACCATGGAGTATGAAAGAACCATCATCTGCTGCAATATGGCCAATACCATGGAGTATGAAAGAACCATCATCTGCTGTAATATGGCCAATACCATGGAGTGTGAGAGAACCATCATCTGCTGCAACATGGCCAATACCATGGAGTGTGAGAGAACCATCATCTGCTGCAACATGGCCAATACCATGAAGTATGATAGAACCCATCATCTGCTGCAACATGGCCAATACCATGAAGTATGATAGAACCCATCATCTGCTGCAACATGGCCAATACCATGAAGTATGATAGAACCCATCATCTGCTGCAACATGACCAATACCATGGAGTATGAGAGAACCCATCATTTACTGCAACATGGCCAACACCATGGAGCATGATAGAACAATCATTTACTGCAACACGGCCAATACCATGGAGCATGAGAGAACCATCATCTGCTGCAACATGGCCAACACCATGGAGTATGAGAGAACCATCTACTGCTGCAACATGGCCAATACCATGGAGCATAAAAGAACCCATCATCTTCTGCAACATGGCCAATACCATGGAGTATGGAGAACCCATCATTTACTGCAACACGGCAAATACCATGGAGTGTGAGAGAACCCATCATTTACTGCAACATGGCCAATACCATGGAGCATGAGAGAACCATCATTTGCTGCAACATGGCCAATACCATGAAGTATGAGAGAACCCATCATTTACTGCAACATGGCCAATACCATGGAGTGTGAGAGAACCATCATTTACTGCAACATGGCCAATACCATGGAGTATGATAGAACAATCATTTACTGCAACATGGCCAATACCATGGAGCATGAGAGAACCATCATCTGCTGCAACATGGCCAATACCATGGAGTAAGAGAGAACCATTATTTACTACAACATGACCAATAGCATGGAGTATGAGAAAACCATCATCTGCTGCAACATGGCCAATACCATGGAGTATGATAGAACTATCATTTACTGCAACATGGCCAATACCATAGAGTATGAGAGAACCATCATTTACTGCAACATGGCCAATACCATGAAGTATAGATAACCCATCATTTACTACAACATGGCCAATACCATAGAGTATGATAGAACAATCATTTACTGCAACATGGCCAATACCATGGAGTAGGAGAAAACCATCATCTGCTGCAACATGGCCAATACCATGGAGTAGGAGAAAACCATCATCTGCTGCAACATGGCCAATACCATGAAGTATAGAGAACCCACCATTTACTACAACATGACCAATACCATGGAGGAGAGAACCTTCATTTACTGCAACATGGCCAATACCATGGAGTAGGAGAGAACCATTATTTACTACAACATGGCCAATACCATTGAGTATGATAGAACGATCATTTACTGCAACATGGCCAATACCACGAAGTATAGAGAACCCACCATTTACTGCAACATGGCCAATACCATGAAGTATAGAGAACTCACCATTTACTGCAACATGGCCAATACCATGGAGTATGAGAGAACAATCATTTACTGCAACATGGCCAATACCATGGAGCATGAGAGAACCATCATCTGCTGCAACATGGCCAATACCATGGAGTATGAGAGAACCATTATTTACTACAACATGACCAATAGCATGGAGTATGAGAAAACCATCATCTGCTGCAACATGGCCAATACCATGGAGTGTGAAAGAATCATCATCTACTGCAACATGGCCAATACCATGGAGTATGAGAGAACCCATCATTTACTGCAACATGGCCAATACCATGGAGTATGATAGAACCATCATCTGCTGCAACATGGCCAATACCATGGAGTATGAGAGAACCCATCATTTACTGCAACATGGCCAATACCATGGAGTATGAGAACCCATCATCTGCTGCAACATGGCCAATACCATGGAGTATGATAGAACCATCATCTGCTGCAACATGGCCAATACCATGGAGCATAAGAGAACCCATCATTTACTCCAAAATGTCAACATCAATGAGTATGATAAAACAATTCAATCATTTAATGCTACATGACTCATACTATCGATGATGGCAAAATATTTCATTTCTGCATCTAGTTAGAGAAACTGAGAATCTTAAAGTGTGTCCCGAAAATAGAAAAGAGTCACTCAGTGAAAACTAACCAATTTACCAATTTAAAACACTGAACAAAGTTTTGACAAAAAAGACATGAAAATTTACATATGACTACAGAATTAGATCATGGTTTTAGTAAAATTCCACATACGTTTCACAATGACCCTATTTCATACATAATTACCAGCACCAGCATGAAGTTGCACACAGGTAAAGCGTTCAGTGCCATATGTGTACATGTATGAGTGTGTATAAATGTACCCAAGATATTACCAAGGAAAAAAGTAGATTTCCAATTGGGCTAGCCATTTTAAAAAAGAAGTCAAAATAACCATTTCTACCAAAAAAAGACAAAAAATATTTACTTAAAATTAGAGAAAGTAAGGTATTGTCACAAAATGAACAAATCTGACTAAGACCCACTCAAGGTGTCATATAAAATATTGAAGCAATTGGGTTAGCCATTTACAAGAAGAAGTCGAAAATAGGACTTTTTATCAAAAAATATTCATCAAATTCAAAGATATTATCATGAAATGAACAATCTGTGAAATGTACCCAATGTATATATACACCAAGTACCAAAGCAAGTGGACTTGTTGTTTTCAAGAAGAAGTCAAAAATGTAAAGTTGACACGGACGAGCGACAGACAATCAGTAACATGAACAGCTCCACTCTGATGACAGCAGATGGAATTAAAAATGTACTCATCACAAGGCATATTAGCTCTTTGATCAAATGTAAATAAATGTGTTTACCTCTCCATGCCATACAGGATTGGTAGTATTCTCAGCAATAGATGTCCTACAGTCTTGACCATGGTGGGCAAGGGTTGGAAAGCTAGCTCTCTTGCCTGGCTGTACAGATAACTTAACGTATGGATCAGGATTGAAAAACATGCCTTTCTTGAGGGTTCGTGCATGCATTTCTGCAATTCAAACAAATAACATAACAGAACTAGTACAACCTTGCCCACTGAGAATCTGGATTAATTAACATACAAACTTCAGGATGGATACAAACTAACAATGTACTCGCCACTTAGTACCAATCTATTAATCCTTTGAGCAATATCATTTTTTCAACAGTATGTTTTATGCATCTTTTCTATATTTTGTTTTGATAATTTTGGACCAAACTAAAGTTACAGATATTGATCAACATTTAAGTTTTATTTTTAGGAGATAAAAGTTGACTTTAGCACTTATATAAAATTCAGTGTCTGTAATTAACAGACATCTGTTTTACGTTAAAGATTGTACAATGTATATATTTTACTGATATCAATAAACCATTTTCCATGCACAGAGAGGCTCCTGTTTTGCCTGAAATCGAATGTAAACAAAGATCATAGCAGCGTTGAAGCATTGCATGGAATTCAACATTCGCAAAAGTAGTTTTTGGATATTTCTTTCCTTAATAACGTGCTATACACATGATAGATGATAGTCAGTTTTAATGAAGGGTACAAAATGTATCTAAACGCTGTATTGACATTCAACTATAAAAAAAGAAATTCCAGTTTAAAATTAAATCAATCTGTTTTAGTGGCAGATGCAGGGAAACACCTATTAGAACTCACTCCCTAAGCCAATTGTAAAAAAAATATTAATCCCTACATCAAAATCAACAAAAAACATACTTTTGCAATCACTCCACCATTTTGCTTTCTTTTCAGCTATTCTTTTACTACCCTTTTGTAATCAAGTTCAACCCATATGTAATGTTCTTATAGTAAAGTTACACATCATTACTGTTCTTACCTGATATTGTGAGAGTAACAAGTCGAGAACTTTCATCGTCAACCACGACATGGTTTACCAAGGAAGTCCCTAGATTCTTGATTGTGATGGTAGGTGTAACAGCACGTAGTGATCCACTAGCACCATGATAGTATTTGAAACACACCTTAGTTATTGCTATGGAATAAAACGCACATTTTACTCAAAACAAATTCAATTAATTTAAGTTAATGAGGAATATCATACTGTAAATCACTTGCAAATTTCCATGAATTTTTGTAGCAGTGAAAATTCATTGGGGTCATTATAAAAGACGGTCATGATGAGTTTTGCGAAATTGTGTATGCATAAAACACCATCAATTCACACACCATTTATGGAGTATTTTCAGAGCTTGATGGTCTGTGTAGTTCAATTTACTTTCAATGATTCATAATGAGTTGCATGCAAAATATTTTTTTCTTGGACAATTAAAAGGTCATGTTAATGTTAAATTATTGACCTGATTGTGTAACAAAACTTGTACATGTAGGTGGTATACAAATTGCAATACGTTATAATCAAATATGCATGTCTTTCTACATTTTACTAGTGAATAGTGAATTCTTTTTTTAAGTAAATAAACACTTTCTCAAAAAAATTGCAATAAATTTAGAACCATTACAAAACGTTTTAAAATACTGTAGAATACTTTTTATTTTCGCTTGGAATTTATTTTCGCTATTTTCGCTAAAGGGATGATTCCGTGAAAATAAAATCCAGTGAATCTACTTTTTTTCCTATATTTCACATTAAACTCATCAAAAATCAGTGAAAATAAATTCCATACAAAACGCCCAAAAAGCCTTTTCAGTGAAAATTAATTCCAGGAAAAATAAATTATTCCACAGTATAATGAAGAATATGTGTAACAAAAATCAATTATATTATTTACTTGGAGTACAGTTGACCACTAAAATTTCATACAACTTTAGCTTTATGCTGTTGCACTTTAAAAATGCGTTATATAAAGACTGATTTATTTATAAAAATAGTAGGCAGATATAAGAACTCTGCTCGAAAAATTAGCATATTAAGCTGAAAGGTATGCAGCAACTGTAAATGCATTTATTTTCACTGATATTTTGAGCAATTTCAATGAGTTTTACCATTATTCTACATGTTCACTTTGAAGCGAGAGGGTCAGTTGGCGTGCGCAGGTGACGACTCCCCTGTTTTAATTTAGAGAATGGATATGTACAACATTCATGTACTTACGTTCAGTAAAATGGGGATCAGGGTCAATGACCCAAACAGTCTGTCCTTTATGATGTCCATGCATACCCCTGTTTTTATAATCCCAAAAATTACCAGCATTGGCTTCATCTGCAATCAAAACAGAATAAGAAGCAACTTTAAATAGGTGTATGTAGAGAAGTATCTTGAAGTTTCTGGCTTTTTCTTTTTAATGACACTAGATGGACATCCAGAAGCATTACAGTATTAGTTCACCATTTTTGTTTATCAACAGAAAATACAATATGACAGGGATTGTTGTTGTTCGTGCTAATCATCAATGTTGCACCTCAACAGATCAACTGAAATCAATCACACTTGCTGTTTACATGTACAACTGAGTCTTTTCTTTGAAAAACACAAAAGTAAGTAGATATGACTTGCAAAAAAATCCTTTTTTTAATTTAACTTTAACAAGATATAATTTTCGATATATTATGCATATTCAATACACTGGGGCATGGGAAAACAAGCAGCCTCTCCACTGAGATAGTTCCGTTGTTAGCAATGCATATTTCAATTAGAGAATTGAAAATAAAAATGAACAAATCTGAAATTGGCTGACTAGAGGTACCTATATGTATAATATCAGAGCCATTAAATTTGCAGTTTTCAACAATAAATCAAAAATGTCACTTTTCAGCAAAAATGACAAAAATATTCATTAAAATTAGAAAATTGAAGATATCATCATGAAATGAGCAAATCTGAAAAAGTTTATCTACAGGACCTTCATGTATAATATAAAAGCAATCAGACTTGTGGCTTGTAACAATAAGTCAAAAATATCACTTATTACAAAAATATTACAACTCTAAATTAGAGAATTGAAGATATCATTATGAAATAAACAAATCTGAGAGAGTTCCACCTGTAGTACCTATATGCATAATATCAAATTAATCGGCCTTGCGTTTTCAAAAAAAATTTTAAAATATCACTTTTTACCAAAAATGAAAAAAAATATTAGAGAATTGAAGATACATGTATCATCATCAAATCATGAACAAATCTGAGAGAGGTCTACCCAAGGTACATATACACCAAGTATTAAAGAAATCATGCTTGTAGTTTTCAAGAAGAAGTCGAAGAAGAAAAAATTGATGCGGACAACGATGGACAATCACTCATATGATGAGCTCCACTTGACAGAGTCGCCAGCAGAGCTAAAAAAGAATTGACTATGTTGGTCACTAGAGGGCGCTCACTTATTTCCTCAACATGAGTTGCAGTACATGAAAATAACTGGAATTCTCCAAATTGCAATATAGTACACTTTGAGTTCGTGTAACAACATTGATTGAACACTATTTAATCACTGCAACAGTCTCAAACATTATGAGAGTCTTATCTTTAGTACATTTTGGTACACATTGGTATATATCAGGGATTTTTTAAACAAGGGAACAAGGGGCCAGTGCCCTCATGTCATGGCTATGCGCCCCCTTACTCTGGAGAGCAGATCCTCTGGCGACCATTAAATTCTATGTCTGATAGTAATTTTGGCCCCAAGAAAGCCATAGAATGCTCCATTTTAACTTAGAATTATCAAAAATTCCACACCCTCGTAGGAAGAACCTTATCTCCCCCACTTGGTGGCGTCATTAAATTGCAGTGCTCCCTCTTACAGCTATTTTCCAGAAAAAAACCTGTATATTATGTTATTCTGAACATAAAATCACAGTGCAACAAATACATGATGAAATGCATCCTGTCATCATGGTACACACGCTGTAAAAGCTCTAACAACTTCAAGGAGACCACTCATTTTTCAAACAACCTCTACTTGAAATGCACTGCTAGCCTCCAGACACAAAAGCAATCAAGTACTGTATCTAGCTTGGCTAACTGACTTATAATCAAAGGAGGCCTTTACAATATTGGTTAAGAGGATTTTATCAAAAAGAAAATGTATTCTCTCGTAATTTCACAAATAACAGTAAATAAAAAGCAAAACAGATAAAAACCAGTAATTGCATTACATAGTCCCATTGAGTTATCAAGTTTTAAGCGGGAGGGTTGTCACCTGCACATGCGTGGGAATTGAGTCCCAAGCGACGATAACAACACACGCTAAAAATGCAAAGGCTCATGGGTAGATGCTTGTTTGTAAACACGGACACGCTATGGCCATCTGACGCATGCGCAGGTGTCGACTCCCTCGCTCTACGGTATATAAAGTTTGAATTTGAACAATGAATGCTGTTCCAGGTCACAATATAATAAAAATGGAAATCTGATCTGAACATAAAATAACTACCTACATACATCAAAGTGCTATAATGCACAGTGTATATGCACAAAGTTTAAATTAAATCTGACAATACATGACCTACATCTGGTTCTGGAATGGCAGAAATGCTTGATTGTGATGAATGTTTAACAGTCACACTCCCAGATAGGCATGTATTGTGATTAATCCTTTTCACCACCAGTTGCCTCTTTTCATCACAAATTCACAAAAAAATCACGTTTATAGCCTGCATTTTCCTCCAGAAGACTGGGACAAAAAAAAATTTTTGAGTATAAAAACTGAAAATTAATTCAAGTTTTCACTGTTGCCTCCAAAATTACATTGCTCTATGGCTGTCAAGCCTGGACAGTCTATCAGTGGCATGCCAGGAAGCTAAACCACTTTCACACCATCCACCAGTGACCTTAAGAAACGTCTTGGCATAAAGTGGCAAGACAAGATCCTAGAGGGTCTAACATGTGACTTATATTTGGTGAGCTACAGCAAGGAAAACACTCCAAAGGTGGCCAGAAGAAATGTTTCAGGGACATGATAAAAGCCGCGCTGAAAGCTTTTAACATCAGTCACGGCACATGAGAGCAGTTGGCCCAAGACAGAGGAACGTGGTGATCAGCTGTTCACAAGGGAGACAAAGCATGCAAGGCCACTAGATTGCTGCTGCTGAAGACCGCAGACAAGCCAGAAAGAACATCCAGAGACTCTTTTGGACGCAGATTGGCATCACCAGCCACCTGCAAACCCACAGAGCAGGATCACTCCTACCCCAGTATGACTAGATGGTCCTTGTCGCATCGATGGATGAAAAACATTCCCCTAAATACATGGTATATACTGTGATGTTACAGTCACACTTCTGGACTTGCAAAACAGTAACACTCTAGACTTGCAAGTACATGATGTATTGATGTGCTGAAAGTCACACTCCTAGACACACATGATGTATTTTGTGGAGTCAAATTAACTCAATATAACTTAATGTAATCACCGTGCTGTTTCAAGTGTAATAGCAACACTTATGGCAAGCACCTTGTTAATGTCACAAGGCCAAAGACTTGTGACTACATAAACCATAACATTCCTACAAAAACACAAAATAAAAGCACATACTGCTCCACCACATTGCTGTCAGTGGGAGGATTATATTCAGTGCATTGTAGTGCATATCACATGACAAATGTATTCTTCAAATGTTTATGAATGTATAGTAATCCCAACCAAATCTCTCAGAGTAGGGATTATAAGTACTGAGTATGAATACGAAAGTCATGCTTTAAACCCAGCTCTGCCAATTTTTTCAATAGTTGAGAAAGAACCTGGCCAAGGTCTACGTTCAGAAATGCCTGACACTAACAAGTGTGCGAATTACAAATCTACATGTACACAAACCAAAACTGTGGTTATTACTAATATGCATGAGACAAACTGTGGTGATTACTGATCTGTGAGTGAAAACAACTGAGGTTATTACTCATCTGCATATGACAACAAGCAGCCTGTCGGCTGAGATAGCTCCGCTGTTAGCAATGCACATGGCAATTAAAGAAAAGAAGATATCATGAAAATGAACAATTCTGAGAGAGGTCCACATGTAGTACCTATATGTATAATATATCAAAGCAATTGGACTTGCGGTTTTCAACAAGAAGTCGAAAATATCACTTTTTACCAAAAATGACAAAAATATTCACCAAAATTAGAGAATTAAAGATATCATTACAAAATGAACAAATCTGAGAGAGGTCCACA